AGCATGCGAAGTTGTAACCTTTTCGTCCTCCGCTTAATCCCTCACTCAATTTTAGGCCAACATGGTTTCAAAAATTGATCCAACACGTCAACTTAAGCAAAACCCAAAATCAATTTTAAATAAATCCCAGCTCAAAAGGTGAACAGTTAATAAAAAGATCAAAACTTTGACAACCTGCATGCAATTGTTGCTAGAAAAAATAAAATAAGAAGAGCTTACCATCCAATGAGGTAACCAAAGGCTACGAAAAATGTGATGATCCCACAATGTTTCCGGCTGATGACCATGGAAGCGTAGCCCAGAAGCATGGGGACCAAGAAGTGAAGGTTCGACGAGAACCCAAACGACAGATATGACAAAACGGCGCCGGTGACGGCGGCGTAGAGGTGTCTTCCGGTGACCCCAGGAACAAACCGGTGGAGGAAGCTCACAGGAATGGTGGCAACGAAGCACAATAAGAATCGGAGCACCGGCACTGAAACTCCGATGGCCGACGCCATGCTTTCCATCTCCGGGAGCTCCATCACGGGATCCGAAACGGGTCAAGTTCGATCCTTCGTTTCTTCTGACCGCTGGGGATTGCGGAGGGGAATGGGTTACAACTTACACGACGGGACGAAAGAAAATTAAGGCCTTGCTTGGATTGAAGGTTTTCGTTGGAAAATATTATCGTTTTCCGTGATCACATTTCCCTATCACCTTTTTCCCTCACATATATCAAATCGCTACAGTAATTTTTCCATGAAAAATGACGGAAAATGCAATCCAAACACAACCTAAGTTCAAGTCACAAGTGAGAGAGGATCTGATGTGGGGTCCACTTGTACGTCTTGGTGGGAACTTGAAAGATGGTACCAAAGCAAAGTCTTGGCTTGAGTTTATTTATTGGAGAACGGAGAGGAGAAGAAAGGAGGTGGGGTCTTGAGTTTTCGAGGGATTTACCAATCGTTTGGTTCAGGTTGTTGCCCTTAGATGGACCGGATTGCTCATGCCTGGCGATAGCCGTGGTCCAGGTTGTTTTGGGGATGGCATTGTAGCATCCTGGATGGGCAGGCAGTTTAGCTGCCTTGTGGATTTCTTTTTTCTTTTTTTTTTATATCTAAATAAGGAAAATGGTTCTTCCTTCATTGGTTTGGTACCAAAGTTCACTTAGCACTCAACTAATAGATTCAGTTTACAAGTCGGATCCTTGAGTCATCAACTCGTGTTCTATAGAAGATAATCCAAGCACGTCTTGTAATTGCATCCAATGTCAAATTTCGGATGAAATTGGGATTTTTCCCATTTTAGAAGTCAGAAACAAGCCAAGTTGGTCGCATGGTCAGGTGGTTTTCTGAGCCCTTTGTAAGCAAAGATTTTGGCAGACTAACTTCTTCACCTTTCTGTCCGTGAAAACTCTCTGATTCTCAGAACAGACGGGTTCTTTTTCAGGGCCCAGTCCAGCAGCAGCTATCCACTCAAAACAAATTAAGAAGATTTTTTTTTTTTTTTTTTATAAAAAAGTTTGAATGAACACACGCCTTTTGTGAGAGAAGGGTCCGTTCGTGTAAATTAAGACAACTTGTATCGATGCCCAAATCAAGAATATGGTCGGATCAGAATCATCAGATACATGTCATGCGTAACACATGAACCTGATTTTTCTCGAGCGGAATAGTATTGTGAATGCTGCTATATATTATTCATATTCACTTACGCAAGAGAAAAGGGCTGGCTGAAGTCATTTTATTCCATTGTATCCCGTACGGCGCGGTGCTTTTGAAGTTTGGTGAACCCGTCTTGCTAAAAAGAAAAGAAAATGTTTTTGAATCTTTGACAAGGACCATAGGTTGGGTTAGGTGAACCTATAAATTATCGAACAGATTATTGAATCCGACAAGCAAATTATCGCAAAGCACTTGGCAATGCACCTGCTAAGCGAAACAAATGAAGAAGGCGTGAAAAGAACTAGGAACGAGACACATTAATCACATGTGAGAGAACTAAGTACAACAAGAACTCCTTCCAAACGTTGTGAATGTGCTTTGGTTGCAGTTGTCACTCTCGTATTCAACGAACAGCTCCATTGGGAAAAGGAAAAATCAGGAATTCAACCTTATCTGACCAGTGACCACTTCATCCGAAATTCGTACATTCATGACTCGCGAGCAAGTGAGGTTGCCTGTGCAGTAAATGCTTCCCCTTCGAGTATATTTCTTATCCTCATTTATCATCTAGAATCAGAGTTGGTAGTTGATCCAAATTGAAACTACCACCGAGGAAGATCTTTGATTGAGTTGGTGAACAAAACTGTTTTCATTCAATTTTCACTCCACCTGGTTGGCAAACAAGTTCAATATTGAAACTACTACCGAGTAAGATTTTGATCGAGTTGGTGAACAAAATTGTTTTCATTCAATTTTCACTCCATCTAGTTGGCAAACAAATTCAATAGTTTCTGCTATCAGATTTAAAGTTCGAATCTTATACTTGACAGTTGGGAATGGAAAGGATGTAAAAAGGGACGTGGAAAGGGGTTCCTCTTTAACTTTGGAAGTATTGTATATAAAGAACTTTATATAAAGTGGGAATGCCACTTGAATTGTTGGTGGTCTTTCGTCCTCTACTCCTGTGCAAATCACGTGGCGTGGAAATCATGCTGCTGGTCCTGAGTGGCTTGCTGCCTTTTTGCTCCTCCATCGTCATCCACCGTCATTTTTTGCATCCCTGCTTCTATTTTTCCCCCCCGAATTCAGCTTGCTCACTATCCATTATTTGGTTCTTTTTAAAATTATATACCCATGTTGTTTCTTTCCGCTCCTTCTTTGCTTTTCTTAATGTATTATATATTATATTATTTTACATATTATTATATATACTTATCTTCTATTATATTTATTATTTTGTCTATATTTTTTATATTTGTTATAAATTTTTTTAATATGTTTTTCACTATTCGGTATTTGCTTCTTTTTAAATATGGTACCCATGCTTTTTTTTTTCCTCTCCTCCTTTAAAATAAATTTTTGTATTTGTATGACTTTTTATATTACTTTTTTTTACTTTTAATTATTATTTTTACATATTATTATATATACTTATCTTCTATTATATTTTTTATTTTGTCTATATTTTTTATATTTGTTATAATTTTTTTTAATATGTTTTTCACTATTCGGTATTTGCTTCTTTTTAAATATGGTACCCATGCTTTTTTTTTCCCTCTCCTCCTTTAAAATAAATTTTTGTATTTGTATGACTTTTTATATTACTTTTTTTTACTTTTAATTATTATTTTTTCCTCTCTCCCGTTTTTCCATCTTTACTGTTATATTTATTCTTTTGCTGTTACTGGCTGACTATTTTTTGCCTTCTGCGTAATAATTTTTCGTATATTTTCTTTTCCCAATTTCTTCTTACCTATGATAATAGTGCTTATTATTATAAGCCTGGTACTAATGATACATTAGTATTATATCTTATCTATATTATCATGAATATATTACTAATCATAATGATAACAGTACTTATTATTATAAGTCTAATACTAATAATAGATTAGTCTGATCACGCTGAACACAAGACATTAGTAGTCGAGCCAGCATAAGCAGCCGCCTTGCCCGTTTCTTCTATTGGTCGGCAGTCATCTCTCAGCGTACGCAGCCTGCACTTCATTACTTTTTGGTGTCTCCATGCAACATTTGCACGTCTCTAGACATGTTTTCCCAAGTTCTCATGCATCCGAGAGCTTCCAGGTAATCATTTGAGTTTCTTCCGCTTGCATTTCGGCCTCCTTTCCTTCTTCTTCTGCTTCTTTACATGCATTGCTTGCACTTCTTCTTCCTCCAGCTTTTCTCCTTACCTCTGTTTCCTTGTGCGTCTTTCTTCAAACAATGTTCTTGCTGCTTTCCTGCTACTGCTATTACATCTGCTGTAAGTGCTGCTGCAATTTCCCTATCCTTGTTCTTGTAGTACTGTTTGTATTTCCCCCCCTATTCTTGCACTTATCATGCTTGCTGCTTTGTTCTCCGTGACGATGCTATTATTATTCATCTTGCATTTTTTTTTCGATTCTGTTTGTTCTACCATTTTCATTTTCATTCCACTGTTATCTCTTGCTGTTTTGTCTTTCGTTTTTGCTTTCGGTTGTACCCAATTTTTTGTTGCCTCTCTTCCTTTTCGTCGGCTTTCATGCTTAAACATTGCCTCTTTTCTTTATGATTCGCATGCTTTGTTGGTCATCTTCGTTTGCATGCTATTATTGTTTGTACACTTTTTAGTTTTCTGTCGTTAATTGCTATTTTTCGTGGCCCTCTTCATTTCCTCCATGCTCTGGCAGCTGCAGGTTGCTGCTTATTTTTCCTTGCTTCAGGGAGGGGTACTTAACATTTTGTAATTGTAACTGAGCCGTTGTGTCTGCTGCTTTTTTGTTAGCTCTATTCCTTTATTCTGCTTTCCTGCTAAAACATTGTCTCTGTTCTGTATGTTTCGTATGCTTTCTTGTTCGTTTTTTTGTTGTACTTGCGCCGCTAAGTTTTATATTGTCTTTGAACCGCTGCGTTTATTGATTTTTGTTGCTTCTGTTCCTTTTTATCCTCTTTCCTGCTAAACCATTGCCTCTGTTCTGTATGTTTCGCCTGCTTTCTTGCTCAGCTTCGTTTGCATGCTACTATTGTTTCTACACTTTCTCTTTCTGACATTTATTGCTATTTCTTTTTGGTGCCCATCTTCATTACCTCCAGGTTCTGGTTGCTGGAAGTTGTTGCTTACTTTCCTTGCTTCAGCAGAAGGTACTTAACGTTTTCTTTTCCCAAGAATGCCTCAGTTGTTATGTTTACTGCTCCGTCTAACTGTGTCTCCTTTTAGCAAACATTTATTAGCTGCTTTGTTCTCTATTTCTGTTTATATGCCACGTTAGCTTCTTCTGCTTTTATTGCTTGTCTGATGTGCCTCCTTTTCCGTTGGAAATACCTGTGGTCCGTTTATGTAGTCCTCTCGCAAATCTCATACCATACCATACCATGGATAGAAATGCAAAACGCCGCAAACGTTATGCAGAAATGCCCCCAGAAAGGAAGGATGAACTTTTACGCTGCCAAAGGCAAGCTAGCGCGCGTCGTTACGCACAAATGCCACAGGATAAAAAGGATGCTCTTTTACGCCGTCGGAGGGAGGCTAATGCTTCAAAGAAGCAGAAAATGCCCCCTTCTGCCTCTGATTGTGTGTCAAAACCCGGCACTTCTAGGAGAAAACATCCAGCTAACGCTCAAAAAACTCCGTTAGTTCCTGTAGGGACAGCCATTAGTTCTCCTGATGCTTTTATACACCCTGCTCCTGCTCAAAATACTGATCCTCTGGTCAGTGATGAGTTAGCCAGTACTAAAAATGCTGATCTTGTGGTCAGTGATGAGCTAGCCAGTAGAGCCTCACATTCTTTTGCCATTCAGTCAGAAGACGTGCTAGACGGTGCTCCATTACCGCACCTGTTCAGCTCTACAAATACTTCATTGGAGTGTGAAAAGCATGCTTCCTCCTCTGTTCATGCAAATTCCGTTCCTTCTAATGGTCAACAAGGTAGAACTTAGCTTTAGTTTTTTCCCTTTGCGTTTAAGTGCACTTTACTGATCCTAATTACTATTTTTTCCCTTAGCATCTAGCTGTTACGAATTCATCTGTTACACTTCATCTTTTTTCCTTCTACTTTGGTCTTTTAGACACCTCTTGCAATCTATCTCTACCTCTTTTCCCTTCACCATCCATCCATGTTACTCATTCCTTACAACCTACAACTTCTCTCTGTCTTATTTCTTTTTTAAAATGCTTAGCTCATTTTCACTCACAGGAAATGCAGCTTGCTTTACCACTGTCAAACGTGCTTCCCTGACCAGAAAAACATCCAGCTCAGGTTGCATTTTAATTGTGTCCAGTTAAATCTTTTATCATTGTCTTTTCAAGCTTAGTTCTTGTCCTACTTTTCCCTGGAACAGCAAGAGTCAACGAGTACCCTTTCTTCCAGGTCATCAGCGAAACTCTAGGAAAACTATTCGCTCTCGTTTAGAAAGGATTCCTGACCGTTCTTTGCTTCTCCCTGAATCTCCAAGTTGTCAGTATTGTGGAGCTATAAGGTTCCATTTAGAACCTCCTAATTTCTGCTGTTCAGGGGGGGAAGTTTCGCTTGTCACTTCAACAATGCCTTATGATCTGCGCCGCCTCTTCATCGGTGATGATGAAGAATGTGACCATTTCAGGAAGAATGCTCGTACATACAATAACAATGTTTCTTTCACTACTTTTGCTGCAAAGTATGATCCAGAACTGACGAAAAATAAGCACGGTGTTTATACGTTTCGCGTGCAGGGCCAAGTATATCACTTTCTTGATAGCTTGGTGTCACACCGTCGCAATCCATCTGGTATTCAGTTGTACTTTTTTTATACCGATGAGGAACTTGCAATGAGGCTTGATGCTTCCTCTCGGCTGCGCGAAAACACCCTTAGATTGCTTATGCGCATTTTAGCTAGCAATCCTTATGCCAGGTTCTTTAAGGATTTGCGTCATGTTCCTGATCTCGACCACCATAGAATTGTGCTTAATTGCAATCCATCTCTTGATCAGCGTGTATATAATCTTCCATCAGCTTCTCAAGTTGCTGCTATATGGACTGAAACTGATGATGAATCAATAGATAAGTCTGTCCATATTCAGGTTTATAGTCATTCCGATCAAAGTCATATGATTAAGCATTATTATGCTTGCTATGACTCTTTGTAGTACCCTTTATTATTCCCTCGTGGTGAGTCTGGATGGCATCATGGAATTCAGAGGATTACGTCCGAAAATAGGAAACGATCACGTCATGTTTGTGAGGATGATATTCCTATTGATCCAGCTTCTATCAGTGGTCCATCTGATCTGATTAATCTGGAACAAAGAGGCAAGTATAAGCTAGACACCTTGAAAGCATGTTTTTAATCTTTTCCTAGCTCATTGTCTTTCTGCCTCATGCCATTAATACGTACTTCCATTTAATTCCAGTCACTGATCGTGGCAAGAAACAGAAAACTAATGTCACAGCTAGGGAATACTACTGTTATAAGTTTCAAATGAGAACTGAAGATGAGTCCATGTTGTTACATGCCTTGAGATTGTTACAGCAGTATGTTGTTGATATATACGTTAAGATAGAGACATCTAGGCTTGATTTTCACAGAAGAAAACAAAATACGATTCGGACTAAAGCTCTCCAAGGAATAATGGATAGTGTCTCTTTAGGCCAAACCTCAGGTTCTAAAGTTGGCCGACGAATATATTTGCCAGCTTCCTTTCTCGGAGGGCCTCGGGATATGCGGCGTAGATATCTTGATGCAATGGCTTTAGTGCAAAAATTTGGAAAGCCTGACATTTTTTTGACCATGACATGCAATCCACTATGGCCAGAAATTCAGGCAAATCTGAAATACAAGGAAAAACCTCAGGACAGACCCGATCTTTTTGCTAGAGTGTTCAGGGCAAAGTTTGAAATGCTGAAAGCAGAGGTCATTACAAAGAAAATCTTTGGAGCCGTAGCAGCCTATGCTTATGTCATTGAATTTCAAAAAAGAGGTTTTCCTCATGCTCACCTACTACTCATATTGAAACCGCAGTTTAAGCCTCTTAATCTAGAAGCATATGATAAAATTGTTTCCGCTGAGCTGCCTGATCGTAAAGAACATCCTCATCTTTATTCTCTTGTTGTAAGGCACATGATACATGAACCTTGTGGACAAATGAACAAAAATAGTCCTTGTATGAAAAACGGTGTTTGCAAAAATCATTATCCAAAGGGGTATTCTGAGCATACGACTCACGGTGAGGATAGCTATCCAAATTATCGAAGGCGAAAGGATGGAAAAAATATTAGAGTCAAAGGCTATGATTTGGATAATAGATGGATCATCCCATATACTCCATACTTGCTAGCCTTGATCGATTGTCACATCAACGTGGAAATTTGTTCAACTATCAAGTTAGTTAAGTACTTATACAAATACATATTTAAAGGCCATGACCTTGTCAACTTCCACATCATAGCTGATGAAACACCTTAAGATGTTGATGAGATCAAGGAGTTTCAGCGCGGTCGATGGGTTTCTCCTCCGGAAGCTTTGTGGCGAATTTATGCATTTCGATTGAATAAAATGACCCCTGCTGTTTACAGTCTTCAGGTGCATCTTCCTGGTCACCAATATGTTTCCTTTAATCAAGATTTTGATCTTTCGCAGCTCTTAGAAAAAATTGATTTCTCAAAAACTATGTTAACTGAGTTCTTTAGAATGAATCGTGTCAACAACAAAGCTCAAAACCTCAGATGTTTGTATAAAGATTTTGCTCAGCACTTTGTTTGGACACCTGCTAAAAGAAAATGGACCGAAAGAAGTAAGCAGAAAGTTATTGGCAGGTTAGTCACTGTTAAACCAAGTGAAGGTGATAGGTATTATTTAAGGCTTCTTCTCTCCCATGTTCGAGCTCCTACCTCATTTGATGACTTGTTGACTGTTAATGGATGTAAACTAGCTTCATTTAGAGCTGCTGCTTTAGAACTTGGCCTCTTAGACTCTGATTCTTACATTGAGGCTACACTTGAAGAAGCGGCTGGTTTTCAAATGCCTTCTTCACTGAGATTTTTATTTGCTACTTTGCTTTTGCATTGTGCTCCAGCAAATCCAAGTCTTCTGTGGGAAAAATTTGAAGTGGAACTTTCTAGGGACTTTGAACGAGCGCAAGTACAGGCTCATTGTTCAGCTGCTGAGATAAGACGGAAGGTTTTGTTTGATATTAACAGATCGCTCCAACATATGGGGAGGCATATCAGTGAGTACAGGTTAGTAGCAGACGATGTTACTTTTAGCTGTCATGAGAGCATGACTAAGGAAGTTGACAGTGAAAAGAGTATTGTGGTGTCGCCGGAAGATCTCTTGATATCTTCAAAGTTAAATGCAGAACAAAAACATGCTTATGATTTGATATTGCAGACTGTTTTTTCATCCAAAGGGCAGAGCTTTTTCATTGATGGCCCGGGGGGGACGGGAAAAACCTTTTTATATCGCTCTCTTCTTGCAACACTTAGATCACAGGGATACATTGCAATAGCTGTAGCAACTTCAGGAGTTGCAGCATCGATTCTTCCTGGAGGAAGAACTGCCCACTCCAGATTTAAGATTCCATTGGACTTTTTCAGGAATAAAACCTGTCAGTTGAGCAAGCAAAGCAGCATGGCTCATTTAATCATTCAATGCAAGTTGTTCTTGTGGGATGAAGCGTCAATGGCAAAAAAGGAGACTATTGAAGCATTTGATGAATTACTCAAAGATCTAATGGAGACTGCTGATCCTTTTGGAGGCAAGGTTGTAGTTTTTGGGGGCGATTTTCGTCAACCTCTTCCTGTCATACAAGGAGCTACTAAGGACCAGTTAATTCAGGCTAGCCTCCTGCATTCTTCATTATGGTCTAAGATGCACAAAATAAAGCTAACACAGAACATGAGGGCTGTCTTAGATCCTGCATTTTCACAATTCTTGCTCGCAGTTGGGGAAGGTTCAGAACCTATTGATGCAGATAACCAGATTTGCTTGCCAAGTCATATGGTTATACCATTCCACAACATGAAAGAGTCTTTTGACAGGTCCTCTATATTTCCTGTATTTCGCGCACACTCCTGACCTTTTTTCATAAGTAATACTACATATTCTTGCACAGACTGTTAACAGAACCTTTTATGACCAGGTTGGTAGCTTACACATTTCCAGATTTGAAACTCTATTCATCTGATCCTTATGAAATGATCAGTAGATGTATTTTAACCCCAAAAAACACCTCTGTGGAAGACATCAATGATATGATGATTCAGAGGTTTCCTGGACAACTCTTTACTTATACAAGCTCTGACCAAACTGTTGATCAGAGATTTCAGGCAGATTACGAGGATTTTTTAAATTCTCAAAATCCAAAGGGACTTCCTCCACACAAACTCATGCTGAAAGAAAACTATCCCTTAATCTTGCTCAGGAACCTAAATCCAGCTGAAGGATTGTGCAATGGCACGAGACTTATCTGTCGACAGCTAAAACGGCACACTATCTGTGCTGAGATTGCTTTTGGTCAGTATAAAGGGGAAACAGATTTTCATTCCCAGAATTCCATTGTAGACACCTGATAATGAAAAAAATGGCATTCCATTCATCAGAACACAATTTCCAGTTCGCCTTTGTTTTGCAATGACAATTAACAAGGCTCAAGGCCAAACTCTTGACTATGTTGGTGTATATCTAAAGGAACTCGTATTTTCTCATGGCCAATTATACGTTGCACTCTCTAGAGCAAAAACTGCTAATGCCGTTAAAGTTCTCATACTTCCAGGGACTTTTGCTGAAGTAAAAACTGACTGGAAAACAAGGAATATTGTGTTTGATGAAATATTGCAATTGTCTAATTGATCATTTGCACTCTTCAGAGGTATCTTGACATTTAATTGTTATTATATATTGGTTTCAAAACTTATAATTTCCTCTTGCCTTCGAAGCAGCAATTCCTTGCTTATTTATTCTTATTATTGCTACTGATTATAGGATGGCCACTGTATTATCTATCGCTGATGTTGAGGTCGGGATGGAGAAGTGGACAGCGAAGGTTACTGTCCAGGAGAAACAGCAGGTTACCTCAGCGATTAGCACACCCACTAGGAAACAAAAATTTATCTTTATTGATTCTGAGGTATTTATTGCAATTTACGTTTTATACTTGTAATGCTATCTGTTAAACTTAGTAGTATACATACTGCTCATTTGTCCGCCAATATGATGATTATTTTTCAGGGATCAAAGGTTGAAGGAATCATCTTTAATTCTGACATTGCTATAATGAGCCCCAGAATAGAGGTTTACAAAAAATACCTCATCTCCAATGCTCAGGTGAAAAGGATCCCTGATAACTTTAGAACCACTGAGCTGACAAAGCAATGGATAATCACCAGTCGCACTATTATTGAGGAGATTGTAGATGATGAGGATGTTATAGTTGCAAAGTTTACGTATACCAAATTTAGGGACTTAGCACAGTACATGGATCGAAAGGACATTTCTGTTGGTCGGTATCTTTCTTTGCAATCATAACTGATCTATCTTAGTTATTATATGTTGTTAGGCTTACTTTTACAGTTCCTCTCACTAGATATTATGGGAGTTGTTATTGCTGCGTTGGATGAAAGGAATGTCACAATTAATTCAAAGGAAGCCCGAGTCCAGAAGCTTGTCATTGTTAATGAAGAGTAAGAAGGCTTAATCTTTGTATACACTCACTATCTGCTTTTACGGATTAAGGCATTTTTCAACAAAAACATAAACACTTGATCTGTTTCAAATATTTCAGATTGCAGACACTTATGCTGTCTATGTGGAATGCTTTTATTGATAATGAAGGCTCCAAGATTATCTCGGACATTCAGAACTGTCCTGTTCTTATTGGAAGAAGGATAAAGGTTCAAAATTACAATGGTCGGTATAACAGTTGGCACTTACATGTTCTGAACGTATAGCCTTTTTCTATCTGTGCATTTTTCCAAATCACATATTGCTTCCCCTTTTCTTTTTTATAGGCGTAGCTCTTTCTACTTGGTTTGATTCAGCAGTCCTTGTGAATCCACCTATTCAGGAAGAAATGGAGCTCAAGAACTAGTTCTGCTCTTACAATTTTCAGTATTTGCTGCTTATAGAGTTTTTAATTCATCTGTTTGTTTGACAGTCAGAAAGACTTAAGAGCTGGTTTCACTCTTATAATTTTCGATCTCAGGTGCATACAAAAAAATGATATGTTCCCTATTTGCCTGACCGTTTTAGTATCCTATATACAGGGCAAGTAGAAATGTCAAATGCCTTGCAGACATTGTCGAAAAGCGAACTTACAATCGCTACAATCCTGATATCTCTTGCCAAGCAGATCAAAAAACTACTGATATATCAAATATCAGCTCAAAACACAAGGTACTGTCCTGATTGCAGCCTCATCAGTAGCTTTCAGCCTACAAATATTTTGACTACTTCATGTACTGACTATATTTTTAGAATGTGTGGGTCAAAGCATCGTTTTCATTTGAAAACATCTTCCAAAAATTTTGGTACATCGGGTGCGAAAAATGCTTCCGCTCCACGTCTGCGGATTATGGTGCTCAGTTCATGTGTAATACTTGTAAACAAAAGCACAAGGCTGAACCAAGGTATAATGATCGTTAATTTATTTGTTACTTGTCATTTCTGCTGCTACTGCTCATTATATAATCATTTTTTCCCTCTGCTGTGCCTTATATAAAGCTTGCATACTTAATAGGTGTAAATTTGATGTTGACCTCTCTGATGCCACTGGAACAGTCACAGCCACACTGTTTGGTGATTTAGCTGAAAAACTGCTAACGTTCACAGCAAAGGAAGCAATGGAGCATTATTTTCAGGTTTGCTCTTACCATGCTGCATCAGTACATATGTATATATATGTCTTTATATATATATATATATTCTTTTATTTTGTAAATTGCAGAATACATCCTTACCTCTTGAAATTCTGCATGAGGACCTAAAATCAAAAAAATTCCTTGCCTGCATAAGACCTGTACAAGTTCCCTTGGCTGATGCAAAACAACGCTTCACAATGGTATACTATAAAGAAGTTTCTCATGACCAAGTTTCTATTACAGACTCCGGTGAACAGACCTTGATTTCTCCTTCAGCAGGTTATGACCTATGCTTAGTCATCTTTGCTTGACATGTGAATGAATTACTCTGCAAATAAGAAGTGTATTACATTTCATCTGTACTATGTACATATTTGTTTTTCTATGCAAGAGACACCTCACTGAATCAGGTATGGTTACTGCTTTTCAGCAGGCGAAACGTCTTCTTCCAAAGCTAAAGTTTGTCTCCTTCAAAAACTTGACGCGTCTGCTGAAAATATGCAATTAAGCTCTGAAGCTCTTCAGAGCAGCCCCAGGAAAAAGCCCAGACAAGCTTAGAGTAGTTCCTTTTCCAAACAAGGCATATTGTTTTTGCTGGACTCTCTGTTA